ATTTCGCTCAGATTTTATCGTGCTCGTATAAGCAAAACTGCTCAAATCTTATCTTTGGATGAGATCTACCACCTCTGGGCATTTCTTATAAAGAACTTTTCAATTCCGCGACTTTTAACAACTAATCTGTTTTCTTTTTCATTTGGCTTCGTTATTCCACTGTGAAATGCATCTTATCTCGGTCCTTAACCATACCACAAACTGATCTTAAATTTCTATCAAATTTAAGTTACTAACGATGGTGAGGTAAGAATTTCGACAAGCAGGCTTGTTTACCATAAGTCTTCTAAGAATGAGAAGGAAAATTCAAAGAAGATTGAAGTGGTCTTCACTCTTCCTTATCGATGGTGCTGTATATTCTTTCAGATGTAGGAATCATAATAATGGGATAGCGTAGAACGGGTCTGGGGACACCGCTACTCGAGACTTGTTAACGATCCCTCAAAGGTCGTGTTAGGTGCTTTACTATTCAAATTAACTCATTTAAAGACATTTGAGGACAGTACAGAGTATTTATTCTTACAAGATCTGTAATGAGAATTTCCTTGTGGTTAGTTAAAGTATTTCTTGAAGTCAGAGAAGCTTGTGTTATGGACGAATATTCAGTTGTATCACTATGAGAATAAAACGAATCCTATTGCAAAATTCAGTACGGCGAAATTTGGATCACTTGCTCCATTAAATCATTGTGGTCAATAAATTATCTGTTAGATCACTAAGCCGGATCAACATAGATTGTGAAGTCATTACATCTTTGCGAATCCCCATTTTTTCTTATTTATTTAGCTTTGTACGTTCGGTCACCATGGACAAGTGGAAGTCGATAGAATTGGAGAAGATGAAAGTGGGGGGAAATAGAAAAGCTCGAATCTTCTTTGAATCCCAACCGGATTATCGGTCTAACTGGACGCTCAGTGAAAAGTACAATAGTGTTGCCGCTGCCCTTTTGCGAGATAAGGCAAGTTAATAGATTATGCTATTCAAACTTTGGTTCTCATATAATGGAAAACTAATTCAAATTTGCTATGCTCATAACCTCTATAGTTGAACATGCTTTTGTTTCCAGACGTTCATATTGTTCTCAATGCCCACTAAATTTTGGATTGGTTAATGAAATTTCGCTTTAATTGCAAAACTTGTAATGCATAGCATTTTGCTGATGGACATCAACGAATATTTCTTACCCACAGGAGCAAATAAACAAAATGCTTAGGTTAATGTGCACCAATGGTGCAGTTATTGATTTTCATGTCTGTCTAGTCAGAGGTCAGGGTAATATAAAGCTAACATCAGTAGTATGGTTAAAACGAGGGGTGGAAGAAGTAACTTCCTCCTTGCTCCATTTAAGCATTCCAATTGCTGTCAATATTTTGCGCAATGAGTTTGGGAAGTGGAGGCAAAAGCAACATGCTTTCTAACGTTATACAGCTGTTTAGTTAACGAGGTTGAAGCTGATGAAGAAGCATAAATCCTTGCCATACTTTTATCTCGTTAAACAGATCACAACTGAGGCTGAGGGTGGTGTCTGGAGTCAGGAAACTTCCTCAGCTCGTAACTATCAGCCTCCCCATGGAATGAGCCGCAGCGCTACAACTAGTAGTCTTCCATCTTCCAAACCCCTTGGTATTAGTCGACAGGGCGCCTCTAGTGCTGTCTCCATCAAAAATTCGGATCTGGAATCTTGGCTCAATGAACCCGATCTTAAGGCCCGAACAGAGGATTTCTTTGCTCGCCAAATGGTGGAGAATTCAACCAGACCTAGGTGTGTGGTGAGAATATATTTGTACTAATTGATAATCAGTAGATAATATTTTCAAGTTAATTTTTGACTGTACTTTGATTGGTTGACATGGGGCTTGACATTAATTTGAAATATGCTAATTATTAATTCTTTGACTCTTTTTCTCAATTACTTTCATGAATGATGGCTGGATTTAGGCAACTTAAAACGACGCCGATTTCAAATAAATTGTAGCATTATGTGAATGTACTATTTGGTAAATAGAGCTCAAGTAACTAAATGACTGGAATAGACGTGTATCGTACGCCATTGAGAGCTATCCGTGTGCATAATTTTATTGAACTGTAGTGTCTATGAAATTTGATTTGGTTCACCGAATTTCCTTCTCCAAAACTTCTCCTGCTCAGTGCGAATTTTGAATTTTTCATTTTTTAATGCGATGAATATTGATTGGTCTTCAAAAATACACTAATCTAGCCGTATGCTCTTCATAACTAAGCACTCGCCCGTTTTTTAAACAGTTGTAGCTCCATATAAAAACACTGGGCTTGCTTTTTTCCTTTTTGCCTGTTTTGGCATTGATCTGGTCATCTAATTCCCTAATGGTTGACAGGTATCTTTTCAGTTAAACAACTTGTTTAAGCATGTGGCTATGTACCGTTTCTGTATCATGCCATTGATCGTTTGAACAGTTAAGCATCCACTGCCAAAGATCGTTTATGATCACATACTTTCACAATCATTTGGGAAAAATGAATTTAACTTTCAATGCCCGTTTTTCATTTCCAAATGATACCCGTTACGAAGTATTGAAGACCATAGACAGACAATTGCCTCAAGCCAATGGGCGAATCGTGAATTTAAATCTTTAGATTGTGAACTGCAAGTTGTGTCCAAAAGTTATATGGAGTGTCCTTTTTACTATTAGTTTGACCCTATTATTCGATGCTAAAGATTATATTCTAATATATGAACTTTTACCAGTCCTCCATTCTATTCACAGTTTGTAAAATTTCTGATCACTAGTACCCTACAACTGCTTCAAAAGCCGAGAATTGCAATTGCTACTTTGCAACAGCAGTAAACAACGTGTGTTGTTTCATTTAACGCACCGTGTTTCTGGTTATTGGGAGCGATTGATTTTCTTTTACCCTCCCCCCACCCCCCACCCCACCCCAACGCCCCACTATCCCCTCCTTTCTGCTCTCTGTCTTGGGGAAACAATATATTATTAAACTTAAAATGCCCTATTCGTAGCCTTCTGTTGCTTCTCTTTCTGTCTCAATGCTGACGACAAGCTTGTATGATTTCCTAAATTAATCCGCCTACAGCACTTGCTCAACCAGGAGAGGAGAGCAGGAAAAATATCGTTAAGAAAAGGAATAAAAATGAAAATGTTGACCAGTTTTGAGGAGGAGAAGTAATTCAAGACTGGTTACAGTCCACTTTTATCGGATAAATGCCTCTATTTATTCCACTTTAATTTTCTTGAAAATCTACCAAATTTAGGATCGCTTAAGAGTGCTTCTATTACTCAGAGTATTCTTTAAAGTGAATAAAACTAGGAACTAAATCATAGAATATTAATTGCGCAACCATGAGCCTCCATTTGTGAGACGCTATTCATGCCCACTAAATGCTATAGATTGTTTGAATAGGGCCAGTTTCTGATCACGATTTATAACGGCCTTTAACGGATTCCTCTCAGTAATGCCCAGCTTGTCGCACCAGTTTTTTTATGCTTTTACTATTTGTGGTAAGGATGGGAGATAGTTCGTGATTCTCTTGCTACTTGCTTTTGATTCAAGTGCGGTAGTTCTTTATTAGCTTATTATCCTAACCTCCCTCCCCCCCCCC